TGCTACTGCTACTGCTACTCCTAGTCGGCACTGAATAGGTCATAATGTTCGTTTAACGAGCTTTTGCCAATGTTTGTTTCGGTACTGTCATCGTTCTTCTGTCCTGGTTGTTGCCGTTCTTCCAGCTGCTCTGCTGACGATTGCGCCGCGGATGTCCGTGCTTCCCACTTAGTTAATGTAAGTTAATGCTACCACACTATACAGTCCTTTCAGCAAGTTTGTTTACTTTTATTATTCTTATGTTTTCGTGTGCTGATTCTTTCGATATGTATGCTTATCAGACTGGACTTTGGTACTGTAGAAGCTGCTGTCATCGTTACGCTCTCGCACCGAGTCGTTGCGAGCATTTTTGCATTATTTCGTTATTTGCGGCGGCCCGACTAGTATTGATATGATTGATATGCCCGTTGCCCACGCCTCACTTGCAAGCCTTCTGTTTACAAAACCGGCAGTGGTGCACCCGTCAACATGTTGCTTCGTCGTCGCTGTCGATGCCACGTGCACTGGCATGACCTTGAGCACGTCATGATGTAGTAAAAGTACTGACGCAAACAGCGTTGCCGTCAGTGCCATTGTTGCGTAGCCGTCTTCCCATTCGCACCGTCCTCCTCAGAATCATGGGCCTCATCCGTGTCCTCATCTCTTGATCATGTATAATCTATGAGACAATGATCTGTGAAGTACAGTTTCCAATTTCGCCTGAACATCGCCCAAAAATCACAGCCGTCTTGTTGATTTAATTTCGATGTTGTTCGAGTTCATTTCAGTTGTAGCTCGGTCTTACTTAGATTCGATTTCGTTTATATACTTGTTTGGTCATACCAGCGCTTATAGGAAGCCATTTCCTGAATGCGCAAGTAACTGTTCACTATTCATGCTGTTGTTGGCCGGTTTTTGATGTCTGGGTCATCACGGCTGTAGGGCTCGGAGTTTGGATTCGATTTTATCCTTACTATGCTCGATTGTATTTCTGTGTTGTAACCTGTGGTTGTTTTGCAGGATCTCCTGTTTTATGAGGTTATCGGTGATCTTAACCCTACATCCTTAACAGCACACCTGGCCCTAAACCCTAAACCCTAAACCCTAAACCCTAAACCCTAACTCTTTTGCACATGTTCCCAGATGGGTCCCCGAAGGCCAACGGTGTCATCACCTTGGGGCTGTTCGAGGTGGGGCTGGGGGTAGTCTGGGCTTAGGGTTTAGGGTTTAGGGTTTAGGGTTTAGGGTTTAGGGTTTAGGGCCAGGTGTGCTGTTAAGGATGTAG